AACAGAATAACTGTCTGAGGCAGTGGTGGACCAGCAGCTCCTGTGTTCAACACTGTTAAACTGGGGCTTTTCTCAATGGAGTCTGGCGTTGAAAAGAGTGATATAAGGGCTTCATTTTCCCATTGGAAATTAGTGTCTAACAGGTGGGACTTTTTTCAGGTGGCTAAAATAAATTTTGTTGCTGACACCTCCACAACAGTACATTGCTTAGCTTCTATGTTAGTCTTCAGTCTGCTTCTCCAAACTGGGGGCGTGTCACCAGACATCTATTGTATATAATACACTGACAATGGATAAATACCTCATACAACCCCACTTAAAAAAATCTGAACTGTCCCTTAAGTCTTATTTTTAGGAGGGTAGCAGTAACTGTTCACAAATATGATTGATAAATCCACAACTTCAGGGTTGTCTGGCGCCTCAGAGGGGCCCTGTGCATTACTGTATCGTCAACTAATGAGGTATCCAGTGTTTGTGGCGTTATTACTTTGACTTTAGCCTTGTGCCCTTTTGTTTGCATGCACAGATAACCATATACCGAGGATGTGTACCAATCATTGCTTGGTGGTATTTTACAGAGCCCATCCCTGAATGTGATGTGGAGCAGTGGAACAAAGATTTTATGCAACGCAGCGAGGAGCTGTATGACGCCATGATGAGCTGTCACTGGGAACCCCTGGATTCTGTTAACTCCCCCATCCCCTCCCTCTCCTGATAATTCCTCTTCTGATCCCTTCCTAAACCTTAAATACTTTGATTTTGTACTTCCCGTAACCTGCCATGATCTGACACCACACTGACACCTTAAAAAGGCCAGCTTCAGTTCACTGTCTCAGTACTTCTCTAAACCCAAGTACTTGTTCCCTTTTTAAAGTACACACAAACAATTCACTTTTAATGTTTACCAAGATGGTAATGTTGAAAATGGTGTTTAATAATCAGAGACTTTACTGTTTAGTGCAAACTGTTCTGTATGAACTCCAGTATAAATCAGACCCGGAGCTACAAGCTTTGGGAGGAAGAGCTGAAGTAGCCTTCTCTGCTGTTGACTGGCACACAGTAGATGTAGCATTGGAAACTGAATGTCATGCGTCAATATTTTCCCATTTAATGATATCACTAAGGAGCAAACTCCTCTGCCACTTTTGTTGATCCATGTTGAAATGGTGACACCAACAAAGGCTAACTTTACTCATTGGGTATGGCCCTGACTTTTAAAGAAGAGATCGTCCTCTCACAACAGAAGTTCAAACTATGCCTTAAATGATGGTCATTATGATAATTTAGTATTTGCAGGATATCAGTCTGTCTTGTCTTGTTCATTTTTTAATTAATGAAGGAATTTTTCTCAGTTTTTTAATTTTTCTGAAGTAAAAGATATAAAAGTATGGACAGATGCTGACACTGAGTTGACCTAACAGTAATAAGTCACAAAGGTAATTTATTCCTGTTTTCCAGACAAGAAGCTAGATGTCTGTCAGTGTAATAGATGGATTGTACAACCTCTTAATGCTTTTGAACGCTGTGAAACTGTGTAATGGTTCAGTGAGGTTCAGCTGACTTGCTGTATCAGATGTCGACGCAGCATTTATTTTCTGCTGTTTGATGGCTGAGGTTTTGTATATATTTTCTTTGTGGAGACGTTTTATCAATAAAACAAATTTAGGAGTAAAATGGTCTGTCTTTTGTTTACACAGAAGTAAAAAAGTCTTTCTCTTGTGAGTGTGGTAGGGATTGTCAGTCAGCATTTTAGAGTTGTTAAATAAAGGTTGTATACTTTTTTAAAGATATGTAGGTCTTATGTTTCCAGGTTGTCCATCAGTGAATGCGATATTTCAAGAATGCTTTGAAGGTTTTTTTTTTTTACTCAATTTGGCACAAACATCCACTTGGACACACAAATGTACTGATTTGAATTTGGTGGTCAAAGGCCAAGGTCACTGTGACCTTACAAAACATGTTTTGAGTCAAAACTGACAAAATTTCACACAAATGTGTAATAGGATAGCATAATGAAGTGATGACATTTTATAATGCAAAAGTTAAAGGTCAGCTTCACTGTGACATTAAAATGTTCCTCATAAAACACTTCTGGTCATTAGTCAGTGTCATATCTCAGGAACAGAGGGGGAGACATTTGGTCAGATACTGAATTGTTGACACTAATCTTGGGTGCCCACCTTGAAACTGTGCTGATTTTGTAGATCTTCTGTCTTGCCAGGGGGAAGATATGGGTGAAGCATCCATGTTTTCACACACATGGATGTTAAGTGTAACTGTAACTGCAACAGAGACATAACTGCGAGGTGGTAATTCTAGTTCTGTTTTTATGTTGGAAACAAGGAAAAGTCTAATGGTGCCTCTGGTGTCTATCAATAGAGTTGCATATTGCTGTGGAGGCCTTGGTGAAAGCATGAACTGCAGTAGTCCCATTTCATGTGTGACCTTTATTGCACAATATTCTCCTGTAGTGTTTCTAGGTTCATCTTGTAGTATTGGATGGATGTGCTAAGTACCTCAACAGAGGGGTGACCTAAATGGAGACAGTTCTATTGGTACCATCCACAGCTTTACATTATGGAAATGACTGGACTGGACTGCTTGGTAGAAACATGGCTTTGCCGATCAGTAAGAATAAAACCAAAGTGACAACTGACCGCCTTTGGCTGGCCACGTCAATTACTCAATCTCAAAAATGCAGTACAGTTTAAAAGTACTAGTGGGACATCAGTATGGAAACTTTCATGACCTTACATGTTATATCACACACAACACATTAGTTTTCTTGCCCCAGTGTCATTTAAACATACCAGATTCAAACTCTATTCAAACATAATTCCAGATAGCTGGCATACATAGAGGGAGAGACTGTTAGGATAAATTGACGAAACATACATGATGGTCATGCAGTGACACATATAGGAGCTACGTTATCTCAGCAGCTACAGACAATAATTTTTTCTTTATGCTACTGTACATGAAAGGATATTCACAAAAGGTTACTCTAACAACTTCATTACCCATAACATTCATGGCTTTTCCAAAACCTTTCAGGATTTCCCCAATTCCATGACTTTTTCAGGCATGGAAAATGAGATTGTGCAATGCTGTGATTTTTCCAAGTTTTCTGTGACCATCCTGACTCAATCTCTGATAGTGAAAACCCTGCTGTTTCCTTGTGCCTTTGATTGATGGGTTTCTCTAGTGCACTTTCATTTCCTTTGGTGCATTTCTATATGCATTTAATTTCACCTTATGTCATTGTTAAAATCTCATTTTGTTCTATTTGATTTATTTTATTTTGGTTTTTGGCGCTGACTGTTTTTGAGTGTAATTCTAATGTATTTTTTGGGGGTGTAAATCACTTTGAATTGCCTCAGTGTTCGCTGCCTTGACTTTATTCTCACACAGTAAATGAACCAATATAGCAGAAACCAATTTCTCCAAATCTGGAACATGATTGAAAATATTGTATGCAGAGGACTTGTGTGAAATCTACAATCAGTGTCTGAACTTGTGTATTTTTTATTTTTATTTTTTGGCAACGGTTGGGTGAACAGAGAAAAGACCTGTGTCAAGAGAACCAGGATTCAGTGAAAGGTAGGTGAATGCATTTAAAGTTTTAATCACTGTATTTGCAGGCTTAGAGCACAAATGACAGTAATGCATCTGAACAATGGAGGAAATGTATAACCAAACTCAACCAATGTCTTACATATTCTATGTTCAGTAGCTTATCAGGAGCAAAATTATCAGCAGAGGTCTCCTCCTCTCAAAAACAAAACCAGTTGATTAAAACTGGTAAAAACAGTGAATTAAGCAGTTTCATGTTACAAATCAGTTTCTCCAACGCTGTTTTGCATGTCGCAGACTGGTTCCTATCCCACCACCTGCTAATGTGTGCTCCCCTATTTTCTCTGATAACTTAAGATCCAGACATTCAGGAGGTTCTTACCGGGAGCTGAATTATCTGCAGAGGTCTCTTACTCTCCAAAACAAACACACCAGTGATTTACAGCGGTAAAAACACTGAATAAAGCAGTTTCATGTTACAAATCAGTGTTTTTCCCTTTGCCCAGCACTGCTAATGTGTGCTCACCACTGTTCTATTATAACTTAAGATCCAGATGTTCAGGGGGTGTTTACTGGGAGCCAAATTATTCACAGAGGTCTCTTTCTCTCCAAAACAAACAGATTCGGTGATTTAAACCAGTAAAATAAAACAGTTTCACGTTAAAAAATAGGTGTTTTTCTGATGCTGCTTATTGCAGAGGAGCTTCTAACGATGCTGGCCAATGCAAAAATGCAAATGGTGCCAGTGTTTGGTTTGTCCGTTCTGGGATATTGAAACATAGCGATACAAGCACAGTCTGTACCGTGATGTCACCAATTAGTTTGTGGACTCCTGTTCTGAAGCCTCAAGTTTGACATTTCATCAGTCACCATCTTTTTTGGAGCCTTAAGTGACCATATTTGGGTTAGAGGCTGGAGCTGTGGAGGAACGAGGGGTAGATCTGAGAAGCTGAGGACGCTGTCAGCAGACAGCCAGTCACTCAAAGTAGCCTGCCCTTAATTATGTGTGATTTGAAGCCAGGTGAGTTACATAAAAATTCAGCTCCTGTACAGTTGTCATGAATGTTGAAATTAGCTATAGAGACCACAACTGTTTCTTTGCACCAGGATGTAAACATATTTATTCCTGCTGTAAATCTGGACTGTCTTTTGGATCCAGACTCAAGTGGTTATTAAAAGAACTGCAGTTTTTGGCACTTCCCATGTTGGCTTAATTTTTCAGCTTCAAAAGTTGCTGCTAGGGTGCAATATGGCAATCTCCATACATGAGGCCCAGCTTGCTATGTAGATAGAAACAGCTCTTTCTAAGATAAGGAAAACAGGTTTCTTATTTTCAGGTGATTATACATGAAAGAAAACATACTTATTATATTACATTCGATTTCTGCTAGTTTATAACCCTTAATCATACACAGTGGACCTTTAAGTGTTGAATTGAAATTTAGTTGTTAATTACTATGTCACATATCCATCAAATCATTTCAGCAAGTCTTCCTTTCTCTGCATTGCAAACAAAATCTAAGCTGTGGTTCAGTACAGTCTGGGTTTCTCAAACATTCCCAGCCTGTATGTAAACGGACACTGCTGTCTGTTGTCCCAAATCCTTGTCTTATGGACTTTCTCTTGTCCTCCACTTTGACTTCCTGTTATGATGTCACAGGAAATGAGCCTTTTGATATGGCATATATTTTCTGCATTGTCACACATTAGAAAAAAAGAGATACGTTTTTAAAAGTCCACTTTTTGTCCATTTGTCTGTTCCAAGTTTCAGCAGGATTTCTTGTCTTACTGTTACAAGAGGACAACAAACACAAACGGACAGGTCATCTTAGTCATCTCCGAACAACCACTGAGAGTTCATGATTCATCTTTGTGTCAGTGTTAAAATGTGTTTGTTTCGTCAGTTAATTGCAGTGATCATGGTTCAACTGTGCGTCCTCTGCTTCAACACTGGTGGTCTTAGTGTTGAGCAGGCCCTGTCCAGGTCTCCCGGGGCAGTACCAGCTGGGCCCCAGGCGATACCAGCCCTGGTACAGTCCCCTCCAGCTCAGACATCCCAGAGCGCCCCCTAGCAGCTGAGTGGGGAACTGAGGGAAGTAAGCTAAGAGACAAAGCAGCAGAAAGATCCAGAGCCAGAGCAGGAGAACACAGAACAGGAAGAGGATCCTCAGAGGGGCATCTGAGATCCCTCCCAGGCTCAGATAAGGTCCAAACACGGCTGTTTCCTCAGCCAGCAGCAGGCAGCAGAGACACAGGAGGAAGACATCTTCTGAAACTTCATAGCCCCTCCACAGCATGCCAGCTTTGAGACACTCGGACTTACTCTCCCCTTCCCTCAACACCAGCAGAGGCTGCCCGTTGATGACCTCTGGGCCGCTGAGTAAAGGTTCATAGCAGCTTCCGGTGGTGTTCTCTAGAAGGTCCAGGAGTTTACAGAAACCAAGCCACAACCCGCCAGCCACCCCGAGCCGGGAGAGGTGACGCATGGACAGAGAGAGGGAGCGACGAATGGAGAAGGAGAGGAGAAAGACGAAGGAGCCGACAAAGATGCAGGTCCAGCCCCAACCAGAGCGCAAGAACATCCTGGAAGAAGGAAAGGAGAGATGGGAACAGTTTTAGAAGTTAAGTGAGACATTGCAGAGTATGGGGGGAGGAAATGAGATAAATTAGATTTGGTCATGTTGAAAATGTGAAAATTAAGTGTAGTAGTTAACCATTAGGACACCACTGCCACATTAACTGACAAATAACTGTAATTATGAAAACCCAGCAGACTGGTATCCTCTGATGGTTTCTGTTTAACATCCCATAACACATCCCATTCACCCTGCCATTGTATGGAAGTTCATTTCAGTCTGATGAAAAAATATCCTGTAATCTCGAATTAATGAGAAATGTGCTCAAAATAATGACACATTATGTTTCTCGTTATTTTGAGATATTATGCCATTTTGAGAAAGTTTTTCTCTCTTTTTGTAAATTTACTGAATCTCATTTTATTTAGGCCTATACTTCAACAAACAAACTAAAAACACAAAATTGATTTTGTGAGTCATTATTTTGAGATGTTTTCATGTATTTTAGATTCCAAGTCATAATTTTGTGATCAGTCATTATTTTCGGACACTATTTCATTATATTGAGTGGGTAAAATTAGAATTAACATCAATCTTGACTGTACCGATTCTCTTTGTCAAAGCTGAACTAATCATATTTTTATATCATTGAGTATAATGTGAAATGGATCACTTGTAGCTACTGAACCTATGGAGAATTATCACATGACTCAGCAGTTTCCCTCAACTCTATCGAGCTTGTCAGCTTCAGTTAGCGCATTGTTTTGGTTTTATAGCCCACAAATTCAGTTTTGCTTCAGTCTCAGTGCTCCCATCAACCTTGTTTCAGCTGCGGCAGGCACCAAACAGCAGACAGGCCCAGTTAGAGACTAGTGGGTGAATAAAATGGAGCGTTTCGCAGCTAAAAAAACAGATATGAGTTTGTGGAGGTCGTTGCTCTACATCCATTATCCAAATGAATGCTAATGTCCTCTGTGACTACTGAATGTGTAAATATTTATATATTTAAAAGGATCCCCATTAGCCAGTGGCACCAAATAGTCTTCCTGGGATCCGAAATCCAGTACTATATATTCATCACACACATGTGCTGTACGCAAGCATGACTAATCACAAAAACACTGTAAACATGGGCAAGGTAACATTCGGGTGTTCTCGTAAAATGACAATGAAAGTTTCAACATTTGGTAACTTAAATTTATAAAAACTCATGTTCGGGGAATAATTGCAACTGCTGAAGAATGCTATTGTGCTCAAGGCTTTTGTGCTTTTACAGCAATATTTTATAATAATTTATTCACCAATAATCTGTGAATAGGTAACTGCTCAGAAGTTCACCACAACAACTTTGTAAGATGATGAAACATAAATGCTGTGTAGCAGTGCCAAACAGCATACTATGCAGATGGGTACTTAAATGTAGTGTGTACTTAGTTTGCAGTATTAATATGTAATGTGGAATTGGAACACAGCTTATGACTGCCAGAAGATTGGGCACACCTGCACTACAGCACAGTAAAGACTTGTCACTGTAGCAAATACATGACTTGGTTTAGATTTATCCCAGGAAACTGATGAAAATGACGCCAGTGTTGTGTCAACACTTTAACACAGAGGAGGAAACACAAATAAACTACTCTTAAACACACTGGATATATTGTGCAACAGCTTTTAACAAATCAAACTATCAAAGCAGTGACATGTCTTCAGAGTGCCAGCAGTTATTATCTTTGAACAGTAACAGATAGTGTAGGTAACTCAGTGGCACAAAAATACCACTTGTATGAAGAAGACAAGTGACCAGGAAGTAAACAGGAAGCAGCCTCACCTGTAGAGGAAGTGGCTTCTCTTGGCAAAGATGCTGTGCTGGGAGACCCAGAAGCTCAGCGCAGGGCCGAACATCACCATTCCCGACAGCAACAGGTGGAAGTGCTGCCGAAACACAGTGCTACCCAGGAGCCGGGCCGCCAGGTCCGTCAGGACCACCAGCAACGTGTTGAGGAACATCTGGACCCAAAACCAATCCTCTGACCAGGACGCAACTTCACTGATGGTTTCTATATGAAATTGGACTGCAGCTGGTTCTGAATACTGCAGCGTGTTATCCACCTCAGATTCAATAGCATGCACTGTTTCATGTAATACGCCTGTAATCCTGTCTAGAATGCCCTTAACACACTAGCTGATGCTGTGGATTACCTCTGTTGCATAACGGAACATTACAGCATCTTAAGTCTGGCTGGAATCAATCTATACAAACTTAACTATATTTTCAAAGTTTGAGAGTTGATCCATTGGCACGTTGATGGAAGATTCATTCACATCCAGAAATCCAAAGATGCTGGTTGTGTGGAAGTTGTTGAAGTCCAGTTGAAGTCCGCTGGTGTTAGCTGCTAGTGTTCGGCATCCATGCTCAGAGTGTAACATGAATGAAATGACAGCTGGCTCCTTGCATTCCACAGACTGCAAATATGTGCACACTGTGAAATCCAAGCATGGAATTCTTAAGTCCAATAGCGCTCCTCCCCCTCCTGACTCAGTACAGTATAATGTATCTGCTAGTAGTTTCGGTGCAAAGTAGTTTTGCCACAGCCAAATAAACAATGCAAACAAACCATGTATCCGTTGCTTTGCTGGTTTTTCTTGCAGCTGCAGAAAGGCGAGTTGAGTATCAGTCTTCTCTGACCTTGCATTACAGGTTTTCCATGTGACTATCACTGGCCATCTCTGGATCACTTCTGCAGAAATAAAATGGCTGCCACTGTGTTTTACTCAGCAACAGCTACCACTGAATTACCCTGAGAGACGTGCAATGGTTGTAGCTTCAGAATTCCTCTCCTGTTCAAACAACATCCGCAGTAACTGTGACTTCTCTGCTCTTCTCTGTCACCCACACTCACCCTTTTCAACACACAGGGTATGTTCTCGCCCTGTCATATGTCTCCTGGGCCTTGAAGGTGTCACATTGCTCCTACTGAGATGACTGAAGGGTAGAGAGAGGTTAAACTAATGACATGTGTTCCTTGGTAGTGATATGGATATCACAGGATTTCTGACTAATTTAGTCTTGGTTGTGAGCAGAGTCAGAGGCTGAGAGAAAGCAGCAGCACCAACAAAAACAGTGTTACAGAAAAGTCATGAATTAAGTGTTAACAATGATGTGAAATTAGATGCAGTGAGTCAATTTGCATGTGCGTGTTTGCACATGTATTATTAGCAGTAACCTTTGTACTGTATCTGGGCTGAGACTCAGCTGTTGCAGCAGTCTGTCTCTGTCAATCAGTGAATGGTAACACACGCAGTCCACGTTTACTGTCCTTTCTCCTCTTTCTTACATGACCCACTTTAACTAAGTTTCTTTAAATGACCCTGAAGGCAATTCTATCAACAGCCATATAGTTACCTTAAATCCACAAAGCTCCTCCTGCAAACAAGTTCAGGAGACTCTAGTTGTGTTTGACTAATATGAGTTAGTGGTTATAAATATTCTGTCTTTGTTAGAAAAGGTACCCAGTTTGTGCTGAAGTTGCCTGTGCTTAAAGAAAAAAGAATTCAGGTTTATCTCGTTTGGTCAGGTAGACTGAATTTGCCATAACACATTAGTCCCCTTAAAGGTGCACCCTTAGATGACGCAAACCAGGTAAATGTTTGGGCCCCCGCAAAAAAGCTTCAGTGTAGTTAAATCTTTATGCTATATCCATTCACAATTCTCTCTATCCCACTCCCACCACTTCCACCAATCAGCTGACTATGGGTGTTTCCCAGCCTATACTGAATGTAGGCTGCTTGGCCGGCGAAGTCTCTAGTGCGCCAGCTCTGTGGGCCCAACAATTTGAAAGATGCGTATAAATTTTATGCCTTTGGAAGTCAAACTTTTTTGGCTTTATGTGCCACTGAGCAACTTTCATAGGAATGAATGAGGCCCCACCTCCAACACTGTATCCAGTTCTTTCTCAACATCCATGGTTTACACACAAAGTGACACACATCTACAGTAACTATGTGCAAAAAAAGTCTAACTGTTCCTTTGGTCAAGAGCTATTGCTATTGTATTTGTTGAATCTAAGCCATAATCAAAGTCTATTTTTATGGAGCCACATACTTACTGTGCACACTGATACTGTGTTCACACTTCGAGTGACAATGCAACAGTGTGACCAGCTGCATTATTGCAGTGTCTCTGTTGACGTGTTGCTTAAGCATGACTTAATGTAGTTGCATTGTCAATGGCTTGTGTGTGTCTGCTACTTGCAACAAAGCACCTCGACTGGATGTCATCTAAAGTTTATATTTGGTCATAAAAAGTCTTTTCATCAATATCTGAGTGTAATTTTAACATCACATTTCACCACCCCATTCCATCAATCTGCAGCTAGCGTAGTGGCAGCTAACTAAGCTAAATAACACAGTACCACAGCTAGAAACAAAACATGATTTGTTGACACTTCATCTCATCACTGGAGCACTGAAGAAGTGTTTAATTTGTAGTGCGTCATGCCGATCAGCAACAACAAGTGTCAGGTGTCAGATTGTAGCATCATGTAACCAGCTTCCAATGAGAATGACTTGTAACCTGTTGCTGTGTCACTTGTAGTGTGAATGCAGCATGACAGGCGTGGCTGTATTAACCTGCTAAGGGGCCCTGGGAACAATGAGCACCTTTGGTAATACAGCCATGCTGACAATTTACATTTTATAAAACATTATTATCAAATCCACTGGCAAAAGTATATCATGCAAATGACCCACCCTTAATATCTGCTAAATAGAATTTCCCAGATTTAACTATTTGGTTTTGTTGTAGCAATTATATCTTTGGGGCTAGCACTTGTTGCAGTGCTGTGACTGCACTCTATTTTCCTTCAGAGTCTCTTTCCCACAATAAGAATAAAATTTCATATCTGTTATAACAACAAACTTTTTTCTGGAAAAATCTATGAGAATTTTTCCTTTCCTACAGTGACCAAAGAGATGCATCAGACTCTAAGTCCTATCTCAATGCATATCTTTACTTGTCATTTGTGCAATTAATATTCCTACTGTACAATGATGTAAGGACAAGTATAAATCATTAGTTTATGTGTTATTTTTATGTTTGTGCTAAAAAAAAAAAAAACTCCAAGGAGGATGATTATGCTCACCAGACAGATGTAGGTTAGTTGAAAGGTTCTGTATGTTTTGGCTGGTGACAACTAAAACTTGGATTAAACAGTGTGTAATTCAACATTACAGAGGTTCCTTTTCATTTGATGCACTATCCCTTTATTTCCTCATTTCTTACTATAATCTTCTGTTCCTTGCTGTGCTTTGTATTCCTGAAATGTCTAAACTAAACTCTCCTGTCCATCTGTCAGTTTCTGTTTTGAAACCTGCCTGTTGTCAGTCCAGAAATAAAGGTTGACCTGGTTTGAAAAATGTGTTAAATGTCTCTCTATACTCTTTTCCCAACTGCATGCATAAAGGCTGGACACTCTAAGTTACAGACACTAACCACTGCATTTGTTATTCAAGTTAAATGCCAGCAGGACAGAGCTACATGCTTTTCAGAGTTTGGAAAATAAAGTATTTTAGATTTTTTTTAATATGGCCGATAATTAACAATCAATCAGTGCAACACGGTGGATTATTTCCACATCAAATGGCCATACTTTTTTAGGAATGGTGATCATTAGATCACAGGAACTGAACTTCTTATTTTCTCTGGACTTCTACTGAAAGTGTGTGTACTGCTCTAAGTGATCCTCAGATGTTTGAAAGGTCTATCTGTATCATTTGTGTCCACTGACTCACTCAGTCTGCAGCCTGACTTCACATAGAAAGCTATAAATAACAACATTAATACAGACAAACAGAAACACTTCTGCAAGGCAATGTAACCTAATACATTAGTCCTACAATAGCTCTTATGTATGCGAAGCTACTTGTGTTCACATTTTGTTTTACAGTGTCAGGGACATGTTTATTCAAATGTGTGATCATTGTGTTGGTTGAAGGACTGTATCATGTTGAAAGGTTTTTCAAATTATTTTCAAATGAGAATAGAAACACCTCTCAAAACAGTGCATTATAATACAATGATAAACACTGACTGCAGGATGACCATAGAGTCTCTGCCATAGTGTCATTAACTGTTCAGGTAGGATCATTTCAGAAGCTTTTCTGTTGGACTGTATTGTATATTGCACTAAAACATTTTTTTTTCTGGTCATATAGTCCAGTGATTCCAAATTTTGTCATAACTAACATGAATTCCTGAGTTATGGCAAAAAACTTGTTTTGTTAGGTCACACTGCCCTTTACCTTTGACCACCAAATTCTGATCAGTTCACTAGTTCATTAGACGGACAACTGTAGAACATAATGCCTTCAGCCACAGCTGTCGCCAGAGCGGATGCTTAAAAACAGTTAAGAGCCCAGGACCAGGAGAGAAGTTTCCAGAAAGTAGTTATGGCTGGATGGTGTCAAGTGCTTAAGGAAAATGATTAATCAGATTTCAGCTGTTGAAAGAATCACTGAGAGAGGGAATACTGCAACCTCTACAAGCCCTGGCAGACTGGTCAAACTCTGTTAGTGGATCTAACAGATCACTCAAATGCCTCAGAACATGAACACCTGGGCCCATATTCACAAACATTCTGAGAATATTCTCAGAGACCTCCCAAATTAGCCTAAACTCTTTTAGTAAGGAGTCCTAGCTTTGGAGTGATTTAGGTAAGTTGTCAGAGCAACTCTGAGCAAGGACGGGACAGAAACTTTTACATCAGTGAGGAGGTGTGGTTGACCCCATTGCTAGGTGTGATGCATCCTCTTAACAGATGTGATTGGTTGTCAGAGACACGCCCTTTGTGATCCTGCAAGGTGTGGACACCCAGTGGAAGTGAAATGCACTACTGACTGTTAAAGTGTTGTCATTGTTAGTGTGATCACTTTGCTGATGGAAAGTTGAGACGGACCCAAGTCATCACTGCTGCACTGTTGTGTTGTGATCATTTTGTTTCTGGCGTTGGGTGGAAAATGTTTGCAAACTACTAATGACATTGACAACAAATATTATCCCTGCACAATCTAATCTGTGGTATTTCATTACCTCACTGTCATCCAGCGTTTGGAGGATATTTCTCTGACCTCTTTGTGTTTCCACCATTTTCTCCTCTGCTTAAGAGCCTCTTAAAAGTCCTCCTCCATGCTCCTAACAGTTTTTCACCTTATGAGCTCTTTTAAGGTCTAAGATGCTCTGTGAATAACTTTTATCTTTACAAGGACCTAATCTTAACTTTAAGGGAAAATTCTAAGAAAACGTCACAATTCTAAGAATTTTCTCAGTACTCTACTCTTAGTATTCGAAAGCTTTGTGAATATGGCCCGGAAACTTTTCACCATCTAATAAGTGAGCCTGACACTGGTCTGAAAGTATTCAAAACTTTTGTGTCAGTCCAGCACCTGCTGTCAGTCACCACAAGAACTTTATGAGGAAGGTGACTCCAACTATTTATGGAACATTTACTGCAGGTTTGATCTGGTGCTGTACAAAACTTTTAAGGCTACAGGTTGAGTTAGTGAGGAGAGAGACATTCACAGTCTTTCTGAAAAGTAATTCCCCTGGTTAATTGTCTGACCCTGACCTCTGACCATCCTGTGGAAGAAAACAAGAGTTTCAATACTGAGACCAATCAATATAACTAACTTACACTGCATTAAGAGTGTTATCATTCAGTTTGGTGGTGAGCTATTTAGTTTGCTGCCACACTGCAATTCATATCGTCAAGTTGATTTTGACATGTTGAGACTAAACGCAAAGATGGAATAATGTGGTTACAATATTGATCAATCTTTGGTGCAACAGCACCTCCAAGAGCAATACTAGTGTCCTTACTGTACTGTGTGTGTGGACTGTGGCACTGCCTACCACAGTTAGATTTGTTTTGCTGACCTCTACAGAAATTAGAGTGAGTAGTGATGAGAGGACTGGTTCTTATAAGTAACCTGGTTTGTATTGTTCAGTTGTCATCAGT